ATTCAAAATACATTCACTAAAAAACAATCAACATTTTTAAAACTATTTTTTTGTTGTTTTATTATGTTACCTGATGATTTTTGTGCTGTTAAAACTGATTTTGTCCTTATTTGTTATAAAAAGTCAATAAAGTTTGAGATTCTAATGTTAAGTAAAATGGAGGAAAAAAGTTTGTGGATCATTTTTCAAGCTACCCAAGAATGAAACACATTTTACATATTAATTAATCACATACTGGTGTTTTGAAACCTTTATTTCTGTTAATTATGTTGATTTTCCACTTGTAGTTAATGAGAACTTGACATTTTAAAAACATTTCATAATAGAGATTTGGATACAATGAAAAGTAACACCAGCTTAAATATTGTTTTCAATAGGAGCTTTGAAAAAAGAGGCTTTTCAAAAGGCTTATTTTAATTTATTGAATGGAATGAAATGGATTATTTTGAGTTTGGTAATTTCTCCAAAATGCTCGTCTGTTTTTTTAAAGCAGCAATTTAACAACATTTTCAGTTGCTTCCTGAAATGCTTGTTAGTTTTCTTGTATTAAATAATAGACATGTGAATTACTGACGTTATCGCCACCCCAGACAGTTAAAGTCTCCCAGTTTGTCCCAGTTTGATGATGGATCTGTGGTTTATTCTTCTCAGCCTTCATCTCTGCACCTGGCTGCTCCGTCCCAATTATCTGCTGCCTTTGATTATCTTTTCTCATCTTCCTTTTGTTGGCTCTCGATGCGTCTAAACTTCAACATGCAAATGTCCCAGTCATCCTTTCAAAATGGAGGCCTCTTTTTATGCTGCCATCAAGCCCTTTGAGAGGCATGTTGAATGAAATGAGGCAGAGGTGGATTATAGCAGCTAAAACACAGCAAAAAGCGTCTTTTGTTGCAGCCTGATGGTAATTATGTCGAGATTTCACCTCTATTAAATGTTTTTCCAAGCAACAAAGCCGCCTGTTCTTTTATCTGTGACATTTTCCACTGGGTGCGTTAGGAAAACATCAACATTTCCCAGTAAAAACGCTGTTTCTGCTTTCAGTGAGATCAACCGGCTGGACCTGGGGCTCATTGTGGAGGTGTGGAACAAAGGCCTGATCTGGGACACCATGGTGGGAACGGCCTGGATCCCCTGAAAAACATCCGCCAGTCTGAGGAGGTCAGAGATCAAACTTACCCAGCGACAGATGACGCCCAGAAGCGCTAGCTATCGCGGCTAACAGGCGCTACAGCTGGTGCCTGTGAGCAGCGGCTGATGACATCACTGCGGTGAGAGTGAAATGTTTCTCCGTTTCCGATCACAGGAAGGTTCAGGCGAGTGGATCTTCCTGGACGCAGAGGTTCTGATGAAGGCTGATGAGATTTACGGCACCAAGAACCCGACGCCCCACCGAGTCCTGCTGGACACGCGCTTCGAGCTGCCGTTCGGTGGGTCTCATAAAACTATTAATCTGTTTTTACAGTGTCTCATCAAACCGCTGATGCCAAACAAAATGGCTGCAAGATTAATTGATTTTATTGATTAACCAAATTATTTGTTTTTGAAGATTTTATTTTTGTCAAAAGTAATTTCCTTCTCTGTTCTTTTTCTTTCTGTAATTGAATCCAAATGAAAGTGTTAATTGAATCTGTCTTTTCAGTAAAGTCAGATTTATTATTTTTTTTGAAATACTGTAATGTTTATTGCTAATATATCACTAATATTTTAAGATTTTTTGATAAAATTGTATGAATATATTATTGCTAATATTGTATAAATAATTTATTGCTAATAGTTTATTTGAATATGTTAAGTTCATGACTAATGTTTAATATTTATTGCTAATATTTTACTACAAATAGTTTGCTGAGGTTTTGTAAAGATAATTTAAAGTTTTTTGTTAGTTTATGCTAAAATGTCATTTAAAAAAATTATAGTTTTTCTTTAAAAACTTGATTATTGGTAATATTTTGTTAAAAATTGTTCAATATTTTATTCCATTTTTTGCTAGAAATTTTTTTGTTCCCTTCTAATATTTTGTCAAGTTTTTTGCTAATGTTTTGAAGTTTTTTTTTTTTTGCTTAAATTTCTTTGTTTTTCTCGTTGAGTTTTGAATTTAAATTTTTCTGCTACATGACAAAAAATGCAAACCTCCTGTGTTGAGAAAGTACGTTTATGTGTTTACGGCCTAGTTAAAGTAAAAAATAAAATAAAAAATCTGCATCACACAAGAATATTATTTCTGTAAATGTCTACCATTAAAATCTTGAGCCTTTTCTGGGAAAAATGTTGGTTTTTGACATGGATGGCAGGAAATCTGTCACATTTTTGAATCTTTTTTTTGTGCAGCGTCACATTTTTCACGGCGTGCTGGTTGCTGTTCTGAGCAGATCAAAGTTGCTGCTCAGCAGTGAGGCGCTCTTGGCGGCCATTAAAGCTGCAGGTCTCTTTGAAGGCTTTGTGCCCTTTAATGTGCATCTGCAGCCGCGCAGCTTCAGCTGGGAATAATGCGACGCTCCACTTCCTGTCGCTCACATTTTGTTCCAGTTTATTTCACATACACTGTAAATAAATAATGGTGTGTTTTCTGAATTATTAACTCAGATATCCCAGAGGATGAAGCGCAGTATTGGACGGGGAAGCTGGAGCGAATCAACATGGGAATCCATGATGAGGTAAAATTCAGATAAATTCAACTTCAATAAATTAGTGAATTTGTTTTAGTTTACCGACTGATCCATAAATAGTCGATTCTTCTTCATCACTTTCTCTAATTTATTTGTGCAAAATAAACCAACACCTGTACAATGAGAAAATACAACAAAAAAAGATTTTACTGCAAATACTTTTTCCTTCCACTCAACTTTTCATTTACGTTCTTGGATTTACGTAACATGCACTGCAAAAAACTAAATATTATCAAGTATTTTATGTCTAGTGAAAATATTTAGTATGATAAAACTGAATTACAAATAACCTTTTAGTGAGCTGTAGGAGTTTGCTTTAAATCAATAAAGCAAACTTTATTGATTTAAAGCTTTATTGATTAAACTACAACATGTTTTCTTTCCACTAAACTTTAATGTGTTTTTTACAAGGCAGTGTCAGTTTGAGCCCATGTTCCTTCCTCTTAACTTTTTATTAATATTCTTTTAATACTAAAGTTATTAAGATGCGTCTTTAACTTCTGGGGAAAAAGTATTTAAAACCTGAAATGATGTTTGATTCTCTGTTTTCTCTGTAGTTTCCTCTTCCAGATGAGGACCAGAGGACTCCGCTGCAGTGTGCACCCTCCAGTGCTGTGAGTTCCCTCTGTTCTCCGTTCAGCCATAGAGGGCGTCAGATAATTTAGTTTGAGCTTTCTTCTGTTTCTTTCTGTATCTTTTTATCAGAACCAACCAAACTTTTTGTCACAGCTGTTCAGGTTGATGTAGAGAACTTTTTTTTTTCTTGCTGCCTCCGTTTGGTCTGAAATCTCATTTGTAATATTTGCACTTTCACCAGGCAACTATTTCGGATGGGCTGACCCACTGAGTATGTAACGCAACTTAATGGATCTCTTCTCCTGGCCAACCCTAAATATTCCTGAATTAAATCTAACCTATAACTTTTCCATTCATTTTATTCATGTTTCTGCAGTCTAATACATTTTTTCCTTTTGTTTCCTTGATGTCCTTTCATTCCCACCAATCTCTTGCTGCTTGATGTAAAATCAGTTTTATTGTGAGAAACGTTTGACAATAAATGTTGAACTGAAATATTTTGAGCTTTTTGGAGGGAATGCTTTCCTGAAAGTCTTTCCCTCTACAGACAGTGAGAGAATAACAAGAGAAAATTTAAACTGCAGTACCATGTTTCCACCCCAAGAGGGCAGAATTTCAATGTTTTTAGCCCAAAATTTTGCAGAAATAAACAAATTTACACTAAAATGTCAAAATGTTTAAAGAAATTTGGACAGAAACAAAGAAAACACCATTAAAGACCAATTTAAATAGTTTATAAGCAAAATGAATTTTAATTGGGGATTAGTTGCACTTAAAGAATGATTAAAATGTTTAAAATCTGAGCGATTCTTGTTGTGATTATGCCAGAAAGATTTCTGCTTTCAGATTATGGCCTCCTTGCAGCCATCTGAGGACAGCAGGATGTATCTGTAATAAATTTACTGCCTCTAATTAAAAAGGGGGCGATGTCTAATTGTGGTTTCCCTCTGTTTGCCCAGATTGAATCACTCACACATCACACTAGGCTGTTCCTTGGTAACCACTCACAGCCCCATTATAATCCAGCTGCTCATTTATTCTGCAGTGTTGCTCCGAAAAATCCTGTTTTTAGTTGGACTGGATTAAATTTACTGTTACATTTACTGTTGTGTGCTTTAATATTATTTTATCTATCAAATCAAAGCAGTTTTTATTTTTTACTGCATTAATGAGTCAGTTAATTTTTTTGCGGAAATTGAAGCCAAATAATTAGATCCTTTGTCTTTTTGCACTAATTCATAATTATGGGTTTATTCCAAATTTTCCACAGAAATAATCAAAAACATCGGGTTTAAGTGACGCTAACTCCCACCAGCAGGTGGCAGTGATCGACGTGGCGAGTAACAAAACTTTTATCGCAAATATTGCAAAATTCTTCACCTAGCAACCCAAACACAAAATCAAATGTTTTATTTGATTTCTGTGCAGTTTCTAATGTAAATATCTTGGTTCATTTGAAATAAAATTAAACTAATTTCCAAGTAACTTTTTCGACAAGACAAAGGAATTTTTTAAAATAAATAATTTGTAAGTATAACAAAGAAATTTAAAGTGACAGAACCCAGAAAACAACTCATTCTGAAATGAGCGACTAAAATCTCTTTGTCTAAGAAGGATTTTGAGTAAAAAATGATGGACCTTTCCTAACTTGTTCAAGTGAACATTTAAAGGTGGAAGGTCGTCTTTCAATTAGTTTTATTGATCAGATCTTCCTGCTGCAGCTTTGGACGACCAGGACAGCGCCGTGGACGACCGGGATAGCGACTACCGCAGCGAGACCAGCAGCAGTTTGCCGCCTCGGTACCACACCACGGCCCAGCCCAACTCGTCCGTCCACCAGTTCCCCATGGGGCCCCGCGGCGCCCAGCTGCAGCCACACTGCTGCACCGACTCGGTCCACAGCTTGGACCTGGACTACCGGGACCAGAGAGGAAGCAGGTAGAGCCGAGCATAAACACCCATTCACACTCTGAACTGCAAAAACACAAAGTCTTTTTGTCTAAATTCTACTGCAAATATCTTAGTACACTTTAAATAAGACAAAACTAACTTGCAGGTAACTTTTCAGCAAGATATAGAAGCTTGTTTTACATCAATAATTCATAAATATGGATAAAAACAGTAGTTTCAATAGCAGATTATTTCTCTGGTCACATTGGAAAAATGTCAAAATTAAATAATCAACTAGTGGAACTAGTAAGTTTTTATTCTGGATTAAAGAATTATGAGATTAAATTAAGCTTTTCTTCCTGTAAAGTTACTTGTAAGTTAGTTTACCTTTTATAACACCTAGTGTATGGCTGAAACAATTAATCAATTAATCATTAATTAGTGTATACATTTAAAATAAAGACCATTTGCTGAATAAACAACATATTCAGAACATATGTCAAAGCTATAAAAATTATTATATTTTGGATTTAGGATAAAAACAAATTTGTCTGTAAATATCTTCTACCTCAAATTGTTAGTATTAAATTGTATTAAACTATTTTCATAATTAAAACTGAATTTATTTGATTTATCTGCATCTTTTGATGTATTTCTAATGTTGTATAAAAAAGCTTAAGTGGTTAAATAAAAAATTTGTACTGTGCCAATTTAGTTGCAGTCTTACTTTTCGTTAATGTTGAAACAGCAGCCTTACTAATGACATTTTCACCAATTTAAAAACCTGTTTTAAATTGGTGTCATTTATATATTTTATTTTTGAGAAACTGAATTTTGACTTGTCATTAAATATATAATAATCAGCTTTAAATATTTTTTTGAAATACCATCACTTTTTGGAGATTATTGAGTGGTATTTGTTGGCATTAAAATTATTTAAAAAAATAATTTTGAAGGGAGTTTTTGAATGTGCAGTTGTTAGACCATGGAGAAATGCTCTTAGATTCATTTACACCAGTGAGAACATCACACAAATCTGTCTGCGCTTCCTGATAGCAAGCTGCTAATTCTGCTGCAGAAAAGAGAATAAAAAATGGGATTCAAGCTCTTTGTTTCATTTTGTCAAAGAATCTGTTGTGCTGCTTCGGCTCCTCTGCAGTTTCAGAAGCTTTCGGAAGAGAAAACCTCTCTGTGACGCTCCCAGAGGGAGAGGGTCAGGCTTCTCTCTTTGGGGATTATAAACTTCTGAACCAAATGCCGTATGTTGGCGATTTAGGGTTTAGAGAGCTGGACATTTGTTCAGGCTAAATCTAAATTTGTTCAGGCTTATACAAATATGGTGACACAATATGTTTCAACACAAAAACAGAACTATTAACCATGCAAAATGCACAGAGGTGTGAATCTGCAAATATTCAGTCTCTCCAGGATGTTTCTGTTTGCTTTTATTTATCTACCTTTGCATGCAGTTTTCCTGTCTTAATGGCTTCTTTTTATCTTACTGTCTAACTTCTGTGTTTTTGTCTTCAATTTTTCTTTTTTTTTTTGCTTCCCCTTCGTCTTTCTTTCTGCTCCCATCCTTTACTCACTAAGATCTTTAAACCAGAAGGGAAGAGTTAGAATAATACCTGTAGATTCTGGCATGGGGTTTGAAGAGTGGGAAAACAAATACAAAGGACGATCAAAGCCTCAGCTGAGCGACTTCCTGGATGACAAGGAAGACACCGTAATCTTTCGAATGGGAAGACCTTACCCGGAGCCGACGAGAACAACAGTCAATCAACCTCAGAGCAGTTTTCGGGCTGCAACTTACCCTGAAAGCTATGACACTATTGACCGAAGGAGAAAGAAAAAAATAATGGACCCTGGAGGGCTTCTCCGCAACCACGGAGAAGAGACGCCTGCCGATCATCTTGCAAAGTTTCCGGAGAGAAGAGGGAGTCATTCCTGCGACAGGTAGCAGAGATGCAGGAGGAAGAGGAGCGCTTCATGACTTCATCGTGCCTCAGGCCGTACAAAGACGGACTTCTCTACAAAACAAGGATGTGGGCGAAAAATGACCTGGATAACACTTTGGAGAACTATGTAGCATATAAAAAAGGGTGCGAACCTCATCCGAAAGCGCGGTTTGACTTTGAATTTGACTGCAGGGATGCTACGTACCCTCCAGCGGTCAATAAACATACTAATGACTTTGTGGCTGGAGACTTTTACGAGCAGCATCACAAGGAGCGGCATCCCAATGAGGGCTACATGGAGTATCCCCAGGGTCTCCGTGAAAAGAAGTGTGGCAGAACTGGAGGATGGGTTTCTGAGGCGATACTTTCCCCTGTAGAGGAGCCGATTGATGAATATGTTGACCCGATGGATGAGCTTCAGTGTCTTGTTGAGACGGTCTCTGAATATCTCGCTGAAAAAGAAGAGGAAATTAGTAAATATGGTTCCCTTCCCAAATCAAGCAAGTCGAGGCTATCGTCTCTGGGTAGCAACCGGACAGATTCATTTGGAGAAGATCAGAGTATTTCAAAGGACTGTAAAGAAGAAGCTGATTCGGATCAGGGTATTTCAGGTGTGAAGAATGCAATGAGCTCATTGTTTTGCTCCATCACTGACAAAGTAGGAGGGGGAATGAAACAACCTTCACCGGCTCCACAACCTGCACAGTCTGGCATAACAAGGCTTCTATCCTTTATCCCCACAAAGGCAAACAGCACGGCTCCTGTAGCAGTCGTATCTCCAGTAGAAACTTCTCCCGACAAGTCCTTCGGTTCTCTGTCTCAGAACAAAACACAAGTCCCACAGGAAACAGGAAGTTCTACTCGAACCTTAAGAGAACATTCACCCAAGGTCCAGACTCAACCGCAAACTACACCAGGAAACTCAGTTATGGAAAAATTGAATCCTTTAAAGCTTTTTTCAGGAGGTGAAGTTCAAAGTTCTGCTGAATCCAAGCAAGAGTTTGAGACTAAATATTTCCAAGCAAAGAACCAGTCTAACGGAAACTGGGTTTCTAAAACCGTTCAAGGTAAACAGTCAATGACGGACGTTGGTGCTATGAAATCAGTGAGGTTGGGGAGTTCAGCTCAAGAAAACTATCTGGTGCACAGTCATGACAAAAATATACACTGGAAACAAAATCCAGATATTTATGAGCAAAATTTAAATCCTCCAGAGCCTCAGAAGTTTACTGACCAAACTACAAACACAGGATTTTTTAGCCCTTTCAAGAAATCATTGAGTTCATTGATTACACCAGTAGGTCTTGTTCCACCTCCAAATGCTCCTCCTGTGGCGGTTTATCCAGTGTTTCGAGCTAACGAGAATCCACAACCACAGAAACCAGTGGGGAACCAGCCACTAAGTAGCAAGCCAAAATGCCTTTTGTCCCCTCAGAAATGTTCCTACTCAGCAGTGTCCAAAACCAGAAGGAGGTGTACTTTCTGGTTTTTTGAGATTTTCATCCATTGAAGACACTGGTGCCTCTATGAAAACACAGAATTACCCACAAGAATATCATGATACTTCCCATGCCCCTACCGCCGTCCCACAAGAAAATGCAGAAAAAGGATGGTTTTCCAGCCTCTTTAACCCCTCGCCCAGTCCTGCTGGTCCAAACCAGAAGACTAATGTTCATCCTCAGAGCAGCAGAGTGCCAACTGACCGACAACATACCTCAAATCAAAAGCCAACAATAATGCCACAAAACCCTAATCAGCCTGGATCTCAGCATTTCAGCACAACACCTTTGAGAGGCAGCTCAGCCGAAAACATTTCTCAGATCGGCTCTAGTCAACCCAAACAAGGACTGCTATCTGGACTACTTAGCCTTGGTTCTGGTAGTGACTTGTCTGGCAATCCATCACCAAAAGGCAATATTCCCTCACACTCTAGCTCCCAACAAAGTTTCACCACTCCCCAAAAAGGTGGCCTTCTCTCAGGACTATTGAAGTTTTCGTCGACAGAAAATATACCACAAAATGTACAACAGCAGCCGCCTGAAGCTGAAAGGCAAAGGGAAATGCGCAGCAGTAGCCCTGGACAGCAGCAGACATCAGGCGAAACTCATCAAGTACAACCTCAACAGAGAGGCTTGCTTTCTGGCTTACTAAAGTTTACCTCCACTGAGAATACTTCAAATTCTCAAACAGATCCTCGATCTAGCAGTGATCAACAGCAACAAGCTAGCAGTGTGCAGAAAACTCAAGGACTAAGTGGAGGTATGAGAAACAGAAGAATGAGCCAGCAAGAAGTCCAAGAAACCTCTAAACCAGACTTCATTCGACAACAAACTGTTCCACCTCAGCAACCGTCGCAACAAGGTGGTCTTTTATCTGGTCTTTTCAAATTTTCTTCAGCTGACAGCATAAATAAACAAAGCCAACCATCAGCACAGCAGCATAAGATTTCCTCTAGTAAATCAAGTCATGAGCAGCCAAGACAAAGCGATTTCCCAATTTCCAACCAAAATCAGCCTCAAAGTAGCACAACCCAAACAGCTCAAGGAACTGGTTTGTTTTCTGGACTTTTTAAATCCTCTTCAGAAAATGTTTCTCAGCAACAGCCACACAAAAGCACCCAGGAGATTCAAGTAAATCAGCAAGTCAAAGTGCCTTGTAGCCAGCCTTGCCCAACACAGACAGAGGCAGCAAGTCAATCGGGAGTGCTTTCTGGGTTGTTCAGCAAGTTAACGAAAACACCAGAAAGTTCAGACCTGGCCTGTCAGAAATCAGCAGAAAAATCAATTCAAGAAAGGAACGTTGTGTCTACAGTTGCAAAGACAACTCCACACCAAGACCACATCCTTCATTCTGTTGCCAATTTAAAACAACAGCCCTTACAAGGACATGTAGATAAAGATGAAATGATTCACGGTGCTGCTCCGCAAGGTTTTATGTCAAGGCTGTTTAGCAAAAATGCAACTGAAAATCCTTGTTTCAAGGAAGCAAAGATGGGAAGTCAGGATGCAGAGCAATCAACACAGTGTGCCAAGACGACAGGATTATCTTCAGATTTGATAAGAAGAAGTACCACAAGTCTAGCAAATGAAA